TATTATTACACTACATAATAATATAGTATATTGTACAATATGTTATATATCTGTTATATAATATAATTATATATATGATTTTGTGGTATAATTATGTATATGATATATGTTTTATAATATTTTATATTATATAACAGATACATAATATAATAATTATATTATTATAATGAAAGCTGAGAAACTATTGCAATTTTGAGATAAGAAATTCTTGACGTGCGTGGCACGTCATTACAGCGCAAAAGGTTAACGGCAACTGATTGCGGACCATAACGAGTGACCAAGCCGTATACAATAATTTATCGCTTTCCTTTCGAACTCGTTAGTATGATATCACTGGACAGAAATTATTGAGAAGCGATAAACTTGTTATTACTAAAATATTATTATACTTAAATGTGAAATATCATAAAAATATTATTACACTATATAATAATATAGTATATTGTACTATATGTTATATATCTGTTATATAATATAATTATATATATGATTTTGTGATATAATTATGTATATGATATATGTTTTATAATATTTTATATTATATAACAGATACATAATATAATAATTATATTATTATACTTAAAGCTGAGAAAATATTGCAATTTTGGGATAAGAAATTCTTGACGTGCATTTTCATTATTGAGAAGTGATAAAATATTATTATACTTAAATGTGAAATATTATACAAATATTATTACACTATATAATATAGTATATTATACTATATATTATATAATATAAAATATTATTATACTCAAAGCTAAGAAAATATTACAATTTTGAGAAATTCTTGACGTGCGTGGCACGTCATTACAGCACAAGAGGTTAACGGCAACTGATTGCGGACCGTAACGAGTGACCAAACTGTATACTGCAAATAATTCGTCGTTTTTTTTTTTTTTTTTTTTTTTTTTTTTTTTGACAATCGTTGACAATGGTATCACTGGACAGAAATTACTAAGAAGTAATAAATTTACTATTTCTTTTGTCTGAGTTATATTTAAATATACTTAAAACTGAGAAAATGTTGCAATTTTGGGGTAAATGATTCTCGACGTGCGTGGCGCAAGAGGTTAAGGTGTGTACACACACGCGTATGTACACGTGTACGCGCATATGCAACGTGTAGGGGGCGGAGGAGGGATGCATGCTGTACCCAACGAAGTGTTCTCGTCGGCGGTTTCATGGAAATGGATCAAGCGTTTCGATGAATTTTCACGAGCCGCGGCCGAGGGTTAGTGGATTAACACGCTCTTTCCTCCTCCGTGCTCGCAGTTGCGCAGAAGAGACGTGTCTGACGCGTAACTGGGTTGCACTACTTCGCACTACCCGTGGCTGTAACCGCGAGGGACTAAGGCTAAGGCATTACGCTTGCATAAATGCATCGGTGCACCGATCGAATCGAAATCCCAGCCTAACGTGCCAAGTGTTCCTCTTGTTAAAAAAAAAAAAAAAAATTACCAAATGGTTTCCTTCGGCTGGTTTTATTCAACGAGAGCGAAGCGTATTGACATTTCGCCTTAATGTCAAGCCTGATGTTGACTGGAGACACTGGAAGCTATAAAAATTTTAGTTTGGGATTTATTACTATTCTCTGTCAAGGAAAATTAAATATCTTGAATTGTTGTATTGATAAATATATAAATAAATAATTGTGTGTGTTTGTAATGTATTACAATTTAATTATATATTTTTATTGATACGAGATATATAATTATGCTATAATTGTACAAAATATAGTTGTATAAAATTATATATTGTTATATAATTATTTTAATATAATTATATGAAATATACAATTATAATATAATTATAATTATAATATAGCATAAACAAAATATACAATTATAATATAACGAATGTATAATATATAATTATAATGTATAATGCATAATTAGACTGTAATATGACAAAATATAATTGTACAACATAATATAATATAATTAATATAATATAACGAATGATTGTAATCATCCCATTTGAGAATTAAAATAGTCACCGCGAATGATCGTTTCTATTAATTATTTTCAGATCGTTCAGTTATAGACTGCTAAAGTTTATACACAGTACAATTTTATTCTACATTTATATATTTATACAGTATAATTTTATTCTACATTTACAATCTTTTCGTGGTAGTTTCACGTAATTACATTCGCCGCGAAACTGGCAAACTTGGCAGCGTTAAATGAAACAGATGACAAGAGCGTGTAGCAGGAGGGAAGATTTTATGGACATACTACATACGTACACAGACACGTACAAAGGCAAAGCATTAATCCACCACGCGTTTGAAATCGAACTATTGATGTACATACCTTTTGGTGCCATGATACGATCTCCCAAGGGAGTCAGCAAATGAAAGGGGCCGAACGGAACTCGGTCGTGGAGCTCGTCCTATCAAATGACATTTGCAATTAATCGGGTTACCAGGCTCGTCGAGCCCACCTATCGCTACCTTAATTTAAACCTTCTATTGGATCATCGGAATCTGTTTGTCGTGTCCGATGCGTTTCAAGCGGTAATTAAGGCTGATGAACCTAGGTATGTCGCGAACTTTCTACCATAATTGATATGATTCCAAAAAATTCGCTGTTTGGAAATGAAAAATAAATGAATTTATTTTAAGATTTATCATATTCTTCGTTTTACTATTTACTATTAGATATTTATTGTTAAGACTTTAATTTTATTATTTATTAAGATTTATTATATGTAGATGAAATTTATTTTATTTATTTTAGTTTAAAAGTCCGCAGCGCAGTAAAAGTCGTCGTCGGGAACTCTGAATGAAGGAATTTACCCGAAATTCAAATTTATTGTAACTGAAGTAAATTAATTTATTTAATTTACTTCAGTTACAATAATTTATTTAATTAATTTATTTAAATTAATTTATTTAAATTTATTTAATTAATTAATTTATTTAAATTAATTTATTTAATTAATTTATTTAAATTTATTTAATTAATTTACTTCAGTTACAATAAAATTAATTTATTTAATTTTAAATTTATTATTTATTATATTACTATTTATTTTATTTATTATTTATTATATTATTTTATCTATCTATTATTTATTATTATTTATTAAATCTATTTATTTTTCATTTCTAAACAGCGATGATCTTTCGGAATCACACCGCGTGCTTCTTCGTTGCATTTGAAGTTAAAATTATGGCTACGCGTCAGCATTGACCTTCGAGTTCAAACTTCGAACTTCAGTTCACATCGACTCGCTGACAATTTCCATTGTGACAAGTTCTTGCTTGTACATACGCCACCGTACACTTTGTTGGACCGTGTTCCTCATAGGTATGACATATTCTGAGCTCAGATAGATAGTCTTATTGACAAGTGAACTGAAGTTCTCGCAGACCGGAAATAGAGATGCCTGCGTACGTCTTCCGCCCCTTATTTCAACCAGTCAACGCGTTCCAAACTGTTCCAGCTACTACCGAAATAACCATTGTAAAAACTAAAGATAGCATCGTTTTTGTTTCTTTCAACTCCGTCTTTCTTTAAGCTTGGTAAAAGGACAGTTCGAGACTTGTGTTTCGAGTTACCATCGTTTATTGGTTTTATTATTGATGAGAATTAATTTTTGATGACGAACAAATTGCTGTACTGCTGCTTTGCTCTAACGATCTTCTTAAAGAGTAACTGTTTAATGTAGATGTACACATAGTTGTAAAAATAAATTTATTAAGAGATCTCCCAGGATAGATATTCTAAGCAATAAGAAGGAAGTAATAAATTTGTAGGAATAAGAAATCTACTCTTTATGAAACAAAATTGAAATTTCTCGATTTGCAGGAGTACGTGATTTTTCTTTTTTTGTAAGAATAAAATTTACTCTAATTAATTGAAATTAATTATATAATTATTATAACTATATCATAATTAAAATTTACTCTAGATAATTATATATTTATTATAATTATATTATAATTAAAATGTACTCTAAACAATTATACAATTACTATAATTATATTATAATTAAAGTTTACTCTAAATAACTATACAATTATTATATTATAATTAAAATTTACTCCAATTAAACAAAATTCAAGTTTCTCGATTTGCAGGAGTGATTTTCCTTTTTTGTGAGATTAAAATCTGCTCTCTGTTGAACAAAATTCAAATTTCTCGATTTGCAGGAGTGATTTTCCTTTTTCGTGAGATTATAATCTGCTCTCTGTTGAACAAAATTGAAATTTCTTGATTTGCAGGAGTACATGATTTTCCTTTTTTTGTAAGAATAAAATTTACTCTAATTAATTGAAATTAATTATATAATTATTATAACTATATCATAATTAAAATTTACTCTAAATAATTATATATTTGTTATAATTATATTATAATTAAAATGTACTCTAAACAATTATATAATTACTATAATTATATTATAATTAAAATTAACTTTAAATAACTATACAATTATTATAATTATATCATAATTAAAATTTACTCCAATTAAACAAAATTCAAGTTTCTCGATTTGCAGGAGTGATTTTCCTTTTTTGTGAGATTAAAATCTGCTCTCTGTTGAACAAAATTCAAATTTCTCGATTTGCAGGAGTGATTTTCCTTTTTTGTGAGATTATAATCTGCTCTCTGTTGAACAAAATTGAAATTTCTCGATTTGCAGGAGTACATGATTTTCCTTTTTTTGTAAGAATAAAATTTACTCTAACTAATTGAAATTAATTATATAATTATTATAACTATATCATAATTAAAATTTCCTCTAGATAATTATATATTTTTTATAATTATATTATAATTAAAATGTACTCTAAACAATTATACAATTACTATAATTATATTATAATTAAAGTTTACTCTAAATAACTATACAATTATTATATTATAATTAAAATTTACTCCAATTAAACAAAATTCAAGTTTCTCGATTTGCAGGAGTGATTTTCCTTTTTTGTCAGATTAAAATCTGCTCTCTGTTGAACAAAATTGAAATTTCTCGATTTGCAGGAGTACGTGAGCCGATATCATGGCCAGAAGATGGGCTCGTTGGAGCCACACGTGTTCGCATTGGCGGAAGCGGCGTACAAGTCTCTCCAAGAGACGGAGAGCAATCAATCCTGCGTGATATCGGGGGAGAGTGGCGCGGGGAAGACGGAAACCACGAAATTCATTCTGCAGTACCTTTGCTCGGTGACCAGCAACGTCGACACCTGGGTGGAACAACAAATTCTCGAGGCGAACACCATCCTCGAAGCTTTCGGTAATTACGTCGAACCTGTTAATAACCAATTTCTCGTTGATTATATTTTCCAACAGTTTGCCGGGCTTAAGTTCCTTAATTCTCCTGGAAACTTTCGTTTGACTGTTTCGCGCTTCGTTGCGAAAAGTTTAAAGATTAAAGAGTTGATTCTCACTCCGTGTGATTCTTTGAAAATTACACCGACGTGTAAATTTCTCATCAGAATTTCAAAGTAAGAGGGCACGCCATTGCAGCGCAAGAGGTTATGTAAATTAAAATAATTGTATTATTATTATTATAAATGTTACATTATTATTATTATAAAATAATTATATTATTATTATTATTGTTGTGTATTAAATATAATATAATAACAATAATATAATTATTTTAACTTTTTTTTGGCCATAAATTTTTTAATATATAACAATAATAATAATATAATTATATTATTATATTATATTATATTATTATTATTATTGTTACACATTAAAAAATTTATGGTCAAAAAAAAAATGTTAAAAAAAATAAAGATGACAAAAATTTACACATACAAAAGATTAACCACGCCATGTTTCCACCCCTTTGAAACCGCAACAACTTTTGTATATTGAACAATTTTTCATCAGGCGCGTAATTTAAAAATTATACCAGGCGTGCAAGTTACGGGTGAATCACTCTGTATAATAAGAACGTACATTTCATAAACATAAAGACGGAAGAATTTTTTCACTTATGTCAACGAAAATCGATATCGATAATGGAAAAATTAATATGAATACAATTTCGATTTAATTTCCATGGAGTCCTCGATCATCGGGCGGCTAAATGTTAATTTGCAGCTGTCAAAGAGAAACTGCACTTGTCTTACTGATTTTCTCAGTGAATCAGTGTCAATTGGAAAGTTTGTGAATGAAAGAAAGAAAAGAAAAGTTCCCGTAAAGGATTTCATTGAAAGTATAAACTTGTCGCGAAACTGTGTTCCACGGACACCTTTTCATAAAAGTCGTTCGAAGAGGTGGACAAGCCTTTTTTTTTTTTTTTTTTTTTTTTTTTGTTTCGAGGCTTCCTCTCGTCGCTTTCAAAGGCAACGCTCGAAAATAGAAACGTAAACGGGAAGACTTTTGTGGAAACGGATCGATGAACGTTATTCCTAATGGCATTTAAAAATAAAGGGGGATTCATTACTCGGAGTCAAGAGGCCGAGAGAGAGAGAGAGAGAGAGAGAGCGAGTCAGGTGTTAAATGTAAAAACGCGAGGGGTAGAAACTGGGTCACCAGAGGCAAAAAAAAGGTTCAAGGGGGTATCATGAAAATTGTACCGTTCGCTTTTGTGTCTCGACGAAGCAGGAACCCCGGCTCGTTGTGAAAATGTTTTCTGCCGCTGCATTTTATTCCGCCAGTGTGTCAAAAGATTGCACTTTTCTTTTCTCTCTTTCGTAATTCTTTCAATGGGTTAAAAGTTCGCCAATTTTTGGCACGTCGCGAAGCTCGTGCAATTAATTAAAAAAATATAATTGTTCTAAATTTAAATTCCATATTTCGCCATATTTGAATTCCCCGCTTCACGTTTATTTTGAAATTTTAGTTTATTTGTTTATTATTTATTTTATTAATTATTTATTATTTATTTCATTAATTATTTAATTTTGTTTATTATTTATTTTATTTTTTTTTCTTTATTTAAGAAACTTTTAAACACTCATTTCGTAATTTTTTTTTTACTTGTCCATTATTCAGTTTAAACATTCATTTCGTAGTTTTTTGCGATTTATAATTAATTACAAAATTCAATATTTTCTAAACTTATGATACATAGGAGAGAGAGCTTTTTCGTTATAGTTGATAAAAATTAAAATTTCAAAAACGTGCGTAGTTTAAATGAAACTTAAGAAATAGGGGACAGTGATTTTTTGTAAAATTTAATAACAAGAAGAATTGATATAAGATAATTCGCGAATAAATTAAAGGATTGTAATCTTGTTTAGTCACCGATCAATCATTAAGTTAGTAAAGTCTTAATTTTAAATGATCGACAACGTTAAAAAGGATTAGAAATTCTCCCTGTAGAAATAATTATTTTACGTACTCTTTGTGTTTATAATTTTTATTTCTATCAAATAGAGTGCCAACATCTCGTAGGAAAAGTCAGAATTAATTTTGGTCAACACTGAATGACTCTCCCTGTAGAAACAATTAATTATTTCATACGCTCTTTGTATTTTATAATTTTCATTTTTGTCAAATGAAATGCCAGCATCTCGTAGGAAAAGTCAGAATTAATTTCAACATCTGAGTTCTGTATTTTGTTAGAAACGTATCTCTCGTGTTTTATGATCCCACGTTTAATACGACGCTTATACCTTTTAACTCTGCACTGCAGGAAACGCAAAGACCGTAAGGAACGACAACAGCTCCCGGTTCGGCAAGTTTATGCAGGTGTGCTTCGACAGCAAGTGGATGATCAAGGGCTGCATCATCCAAGACTACCTGCTCGAGCAGAGCCGCATAACTTTTCAAAGTGCCGGCGAGAGGAACTACCATGTGTTCTATCAGCTGGTGGAGGCTGGAACCAGGGACAAGGAATTCGCGGAACAATATAAACTGATGCCAGCAAGCCACTACAAGTATTTGAATCAGTCTGGCTGCGTGAAGATCGATGGTATCTCCGACAGCAAGAAACTCGATGCTCTCAGGCTAGCGTTTAACGTGCTACAGGTAATTAGTCGGTACACATCGGGGCGGTTTTCCTTCAAAGGTGGTGGTACCAATTTATTCACGTTAATGGCACGTGCAAACAAACTTCGTATACTTGAAATTCTGTGAGAATTTCTCTATTGAATTTTCCCAGGGTGGTGTGGGACTTTCGTTTGATCTGCTGGCGATGAAAATAATTGTTTACATATTTTTAGTATATTTTTAAATATCTCAAAGTTAAACAGTTGTTGATACTAGTTTTCTTGTAGGCGGACGTGCAGAGGACGTATGAAGGTCATTAACGTTTTTTCTAAGTGGAATCATATATTTTTTGTTGCATCAGTTGATGCACCTTGATATTCTTTGTGGAAAAAGTATTAACCCATTTATGTTAAAAAATCATTGGTTTAGGAGACATTTTAATTTTAATTTTGTAAAATCTATGCGTGAAAGACAAAGACAGTATGTTATTTTATTCTTATATATTATTATATATTCTTATATTATATATAAGATATATAGATTATATTCTTACATATATATATATATATATATAAGATATATATTCTTATATTAGATATTATTATTATTATTCTTATAGGATATATAGATTATTATTCTTTTATTATAAGATATATAGATTATATTCTTATATTATATATAAGATATATAGATAGATAGATATTATATATATTATATTCTATTATATTCTTATATATTATATAAGAATGCTATCCTTCCTCCGTGTCTTTAAAATTAAAATTAAAATATCTCCTGAAGTAACGATTTTTTTAACATAAATAGGTTGGTACTTTTTTGTAAAAGACATCAAGGTGCTTCAACTGACGCAATAAAAAAAATATATGATTCCATTTTAAAAAACGTTAATGACCTTCACATGTTCTCTACAGTCCACCTACAAGAAAACTAGTATCATCAAAATGTTCCCCCCTCGAAAACCATTCAATTTCATCTGAAACATTTTGCAACAATAATGACGTAATAATACTCACAATAATAATGACGTAAATCTAATATGACCCATCCTGTATTTGCGATTGTACCATCGGTACAGAGTGTATAGTGATTTAAATATTTGAATCGTCGGAGAGTAGCTTCTCCCAACATTCTTTCATCGTTCGATTTCCTCAACTTTCGTAAATCGCCGCGGTGCAACGAGGGGGCTCATTTAATCCTTACCGATCACTTTCGTTTTCGCAGGTCGCGCCGGAAATGTGCGAGGGTATATTCAGAGTCCTGTCCGCCATACTCTGGCTCGGGAATCTGAGCTTCGAGGACGTGGACGGCGAGAGATGCGAGCTAACTAAAGAGGACCTTGACATCGTCGGCACGGTCGCACCCCTGCTCGGGCTGCAGGTCGAGGATCTCACGAAAGTGGTGCTTATACGGCAGATAAACGTTCGCGGGAACATCACCGAGATACCGTTGAAGGTTCAAGAGGCCCGCGAGAACAGGCACGCGATGGCGAAGGCGTTGTACTCGCGAACGTTCGTCTGGCTGATCAATCACATAAACAATTGTACGAACCCCGGCCAGGACAGCTCGAGGTTCCTCGGCGTTCTGGACATATTCGGCTTCGAGAACTTCGCCGTGAACAGCTTCGAGCAACTATGCATCAATTACACGAACGAGAAGCTGCACAAGTTTTTCAATCACTACGTGTTCGCGTTGGAGCAGGAACTAGTAAGCGTTCTTCTTGTTTTTCCCTGTGTGTTGTGTGTATTCCATGGTCGGCTGTGCGACACGACGATGTGGCGAGATAGCTTGTTACGTAACCGATGAGGGGTGAAATTGAATTGACCTCGATATGAACCTACAATAATTGGAAATGACAATATTTTCATGGAAATTTATTTCTTGAAAGATATAAATGACTTGAAGTAATGAAAAAAGTCCTGAAGCAATTAAACTGAATGTATTTAATAAAGGAATGTCAGTATAATGAAGTACTTTAATTATTTTTGGATTATTATATTAATTTCAATTGATCAATGGAGAAATTGAGCTATGAAAAAATGTTCAAAAAAAAAGAATGAAATAAAAAAAAGTAATTCTGAAATAACAAATATAATTATTCTAAATTTTAATATTATTTTAATACAAAATGTATGATTACCTATAAATATTCGTTCGCGAATAATATCTCGAAATTGTAAAATTTTAATTATAACTAAATTTATAAATATAATAAATAATGAAAATATATTTTTTATATTAATTCATCTCGATATCGATGGTACATATATATGTGTGTGTGTGTGTGTGTAATTAATTATATTATATATAACTAATATATTAATATATAATTTTATATATAATTATAATTATATATATATAAAATTTGTAATTTTATATATATATATATATGTATAGTGAGGTAATTCAATTGAATTCTTGTGCAACTTTTATAACAGAACCGAAGACACATTATACCTAATCTCAAGTTGTGCAAGTACGTTTGAATGATACGTTTAACGATAAAAATGAAAACTGGTCGCACAGTTGATTAGGCGAGACACACTTGTCCTTCCACGTCGGCTATCGTAACACGTTCTGAACGTTTCGAATTTCAGTATCGGCAGGAAGAGATCCAATACTCCCATATCACCTTCACGGACAACACCATGTGCCTGGAATTAATCGAGAAACCTCCACGATGTGTTCTTAAGTTACTGACCGAGCAGTGCCATATGCCGAAAGGCTCGGACCTAGCCTACCTGACCAATTTGCACGCCGAGTTCGAGAATCATCCCTGCTACGTGAAGGGCGACGATCGACGAAAATGGGAGAAGGAGTTCGGCGTGAAACACTACGCAGGTTGCGTCACCTACGCGGTCGAAGGGTTCGTCGACAAGAACCGCGACGTCCAACAAGACGTGTTCTTCGACTTTATGTCCAGGAGCACGAACGAATTTGTCCAAGAGATCACGGTTTATCAGGATCTTTTGGGATGCACGGTGGCTCGCGCGAGCGGCAACGCGACCACCATGTCACGCGGCACTTCGAAGGGCAAGCCAACGCTCTGCGACTCCTTCAGGCATCAGTTGCAAGCGCTAGTTGACGTTCTCCAAGCCACGACACCCTGGTACGCTAGATGCATCAAGCCGAATATGCAAAAAGCGGCGAATAACTATGACGAGAAGCTGGTTCTAGACCAGCTGAAGTACTTAGGCATGCTAGATATTATTAGAATCCGAAAGGAGGGTTTCCCAATACACATGCCCTTCCTCGACTTTATAGCGAGATATCGTTGCCTGGATAAAGGACGTTTGTCCCGCTCGTATAACGAGAAAGAGGCTGTTAGATACTTGATCAGCAGTCAGGGTGTACCCGAGACTGAGTGGCAAATCGGCAAGACCAAAGTGTTTCTGAGAAGCTACGTGCACGAACCGTTGGAGGATTGTAGAAATCAAATGGTCACCAGCAATGCCATAATGATACAGAAAACATGGAGGGGATACGTGGTTCGACGAGGTGAGTTACTTTCAATTTTGTCACTTTGTTGCTTGATTTTATTTTATTCCTCGAATAGAGTAGAGATGAATTAGAACTCGGTTGTTGTCTGCAGAATACAAACGCGTAAGAGACGCCGCATTGAAGGTGCAGCACGCTTACCGAGGCTGGAAGCTGAGAATAATGTTTATCAGGAAACGAAGGGCAGCCATCGTGATACAGAGTCACTTGCGTGGCGTGTTCGCAAGGGAGGTGGCCACTGCCTTGAGAGAGATGAGACGAGTAGACGAGGAGATGAGGAAGAGGGAGAGACTGGAAGAGGAGAGAAGATTGATGGAGGATAAGAAGGCTCTGGAAGAAAGTCAAAGGTACAACGAAATAATTCGTCCTGGTATTGTACGATACGACAGGCCTATTCCAGTATATGAAATTGCCGTGATGATCGTCGGGGATCGTTCGCCTGTGTGCTAATAGTATGTCTATTTGTGTCCTTTGTAGCGCACAGTACAATGGTATTGTCGGGATGGAAGCCGGGTAAGTTCGTACGATGTGTCGGTAGTTCAACGACGAGTTAAAGACGAAGCTCTTTTAGCATGAAGAATAATTGCTTTTAAAACATAGATTGACAGCGTTTAGTACTATCAAACATACACAGACACACATACATACACACCATACACCTGGCTAATTTGTGCGCTTAAGAAAACTGAAATAAATAAAAGTAATATTTTCACGTACTTGCACGTATTTTACAGAAAAGCGCAAGAAGAAATCGCCGCGTTGTCGCAAATGGCCGAGCAAATGAATTCGAAAATGGCCGCCTCGGATCTGCAGTCTGTAGACTTGGACAATCTATTCTCATTCTTATCCGACGTACAATCAACGAAAGGCAATCAGATAATCGAAGAAATCGGCGAACAAATGGATGCGTTGGTAGAGGACCTAGACGTGGAGTTGGAGACTGTGATCCAGCAGGAAATGGAGTTGAATTCAAAGATGGAATCTAAAGCAAACACTCCAAACGGTCAAGAGGCTCCGTCACCGCTGCAACAGGCAGGGCAACAACGAATACCGTGTCCAAATACAGGTAAACTTGGCCAGCCGAGTCTTCCGGAGCCTACTGAACCTCCTCCACCTCCACCGCCTCCCGCCGCAGCTCTAACAATGAACGGAGACTCCTCCACTGACAATGGAGAGCCAATCTACGAGTCCGTCTTGCCACGCGAAGAGAACAGTCCCAGCAGTCCAATTTTGGTTAACGGAAATTCTGGATCGTTGGTTAACGGTGAATCCTGTGGCTCACCTCCGCCAGTGCCAAATAACAAGGTCATCAAAGAACCGGTCGCCGGTAGTCCACCATCCAGGCCAGAATCTAGAAACTCGAACAGTCATCATTTGCACCATAATCACCATCAGCCGGTGCCGCCGCAGCAACAGAACGGTCACGATCAACAGCAACAACAGTCGCAGCAACCTCAACAGCCGCCTGTCGAGAGGGAACAGAGACGCAAGTGTAGAGTGGAGCGTAAACTTCAAGAACTGGAGGACAAAAAGGAGGTTGACAACGAGGTCACTTATCACGATATCGTGGAGTTCGCGCAGAATTACTTCAACAGCCACGAAAGATCACCAGAGGGTACAATCATGGCCACGCTTACTAGAAAATCACGTGGCAAGAGCGTGGAGTATATTCCAAAGTACGAGATGGTCACTTACTACAAAGGTTCCACTATACCGAATTCTCACATTCACATGTACGACCCTGACAACGTCAACGTGGCCTGTTCGGTTTTCAGGGTAAGTAAATTGTTTAGTAAAATGTTTCTCTTCCTAATCAATCTTCGATTGATTTTTATTTTTATTTTCTTTTTTTTTCCTAATCTAGGATCTATGCAAGTACATAAGAGGAGAAATGAAACTAGACCAGGAAATCGCGACTATTCAGAGTATAATAGGCTACGGCATCGAGCGTGAAGAACTACGAGACGAGATTTTCGTTCAGTGTATGAGACAGGCGACCAACAATCCCAATCCAGAATGGTCGGAAAGAGTGTGGTTGCTGCTCTGTTTGGCTATCGTCGCTTTCCAACCTAGCAAGCTGCTGTACAAGTATTTCGTGTCCTTTTTACGAAAGAATCTAGCCCTCGAGGGCAAGCTGCGACAGTACGTTCAATGGTGCGTGGACAATTGCAAGAACATGAAAGTCTCCTGCAGGCAGCATCCACCGTCGACGGTGGAGATCGCAGCGATGAGGCGATTGGGCACGATAGTTTGCCGGTTCTTCTTTCTGGACGGGAGAACCAAAGCGATCGACGTTCACCCGACTGACACCGCTTCCGACGCTGTTGCCAAACTGGGTGAAAAATTGGGCCTCAGGTCACTGGAAGGTTGGGCGATTTATCAAAGCAGACCGGATGGCGAGGAGCACGTGCGAGCTCACGACTATCTGTACGACGTGATAGCTGCTTGGGAAATGAAACAGTGCAAACTGAACACGGCGCAGTCGACCTTCTCGACTCTTCGTCGTGGGAACAACGCTACGTTAGGAAGCGGCGACAATCGGTTCGTTTTCAAGCGAAGACTCTTCCGGAATACCCGAGAGATATCGCAAGATCCCGTCGAGGTGAACATGCTGTACGCCCAAGCTGTGTACAACGTCGTGAAGTGCGACGATTTCCCAGTGTCGGAGAAGGTCGCTCTCCAGTTGGCGGGTTTGCAGGCGCAGGTCGCCCTCGGCGACCCGAAGGACAACGACCGGCTGGATTATTACAGCGAGGTGGACAGTTTCTTGCCTTATCGGATCAGCCGTGCCCGAGGCGACGACGTCTGGGTGCCGATAATAGCGCAGGCACACAGACAGTACGGCGCTGGTCGCAAGGAATTGGCGGCCAAGGTGCTCTATCTGTCTTGCGTGATGCAATATCCCCTCTACGGCACGACCATGTTCAACGTGACATATCGGGGTTATTGGTCGTATGGCAACCAGCTTATCCTGGGCATCAACTGCGATGGACTGATGTTGATCAAACCGGACGACAAGTTCGTCCTGTCGGAGTATCGTTATCAGGATGTGGAGAGTATCATGCTAGACCCGAGCGACTCTTTCATAACGCTATCTCTCCTTCGCCACAACCCGGACAGCTCGCACAAGTGTTTCGTTTTCGAAACGCCGCAGAAGAACGAGATAGGCAGCCTGATCGTCAGTTACTGTCCGGCATTGGCAGGTTGGATCACGGAAAACGAGGTGCCTACCAAGAAACTCAAATGCATCACCAACGAGGATCGTATCAGGCTCTATCACAACTTGGTCAATTGTCGGAGGACACTGGTCGACGCGGAGATACTGAGAAAACCTCAGGATTCCGGTGGCGGTTTTCTGAGAAACACGCTGCGAAGGTTGTCCAAGCACAGAATAGAGAAGCTCAGGCAGGAACACGGTAGCGCGACTGACCACGGTGAAACCTACAAAGGATTCCCCTATGCCTATTGGGCGTTCAGCAGGCAAGCTATACCTCAGAGCTTGTCGAAGCTGCCCGACCCAGACGAGCAAATATCCCTCAGCGTGTTTCAGTTGATTTTAACCTACGCTGGTTTAGGACAGAACGGTGACACGGTTCGTAGAGTGGAGGACGAGCACGTGAACCTGATACAGACCGTGATGGAACGTTGTATAAGGAAGGAGAATCTACTGGGTGAGCTGTATCTTCAGTTGATCAAGCAAACGACAGACCATCCTGATCCCAACAGCCGGGTGAATCTCAGGCATTGGGCGTTACTCTCTCTGGCCTGTTCGGTTATCCTACCACCGCAGAAGGTGATACGAAAGTATCTGATCGCGCATTTGAAACGATGCGCCAGCGATTATGTCACCGAGGAGGGGAAGTACGCCCGGTTTGCTGAAAAGTGCCTTTACAAGACCCAGGGCACGAGGAGGAGGCAATGGCCGCCGAGTAGGGAGGAGATAATGTGCACGATCAACCGTAGGCCTATCTACGCGAGATTCCACTTCATGGACGGACAGTATCACGCCGTCGAGTTTCATCCTTCGGCGACAGCCAGGGACGTTATGGAGATTATCAAGACTAAAATTGGCCTGGAGGAAACTGCCATGGGTAATCAAAGTTGAATCATTTTCTTATATTTCTTATATTTATATTTTTATCGACTTGAATATTGACAATTTTTAATTTTGGGTGTTTCGCAGGCTATGCCATTTACGAAGTCTTAGGGCCAACCGAGAGAGCGCTGATACCAGAGGAGAAGATCGCCGACGTAATGTCGAAATGGGAACGTTACAGGACGGCGAACGCGCAGCAGAATCAATCGCAGAGGAAGCACGCGCATCACTTCTTCCTATTTAAGAAACACTTGTTCCTCGATCAGTACATGAATCTCGACGACCCCGTGGAAAAGGAATTACTGTATCATCAAGTGCTGCACGATCTGCGTGCTGATCGTTTTCCTATCACTGAGAAAGAAGCTGTAAATAATTTCTTTCCTTCTTTTTTTTCTTTTTCTTTTCGTCTTTATCGTCCATAGTCAAAGTCAAATGAATCATTGAATTTCAGATGATGTTAACAGCGCTGCAAGCGCAGTTAGAACTCGGCGATTGCGAGGACGCTATGTCAGATCACGATTACCGGACTATATCGAGTCACTGCCTGCCGACAAGACTGGTTCCGAGTTTATGCATAGAGGGTGTGCTTCAACACCATCAGTCATTGCGAGGGATGACACCGCCCGAGGCGAAGAAGGCGTTCCTAAACTTAATTCAGTCGTGGCCGCTTCACAGGGCCACGATATTCGACGTCATGCAGTCATTCACGTCAAACTGGCCACGCGTTTTGTGGCTGGCCGTCGATCAACAAGGTCTTCACCTTTTGGAGCATCGTTCCAGAAACACACTCTGTACCTACGAATATAGCAGTATTCTCAGTTACAGCCCAGCTGTTAGTTGTTTGATGATCATCACTGGTACTGATAAGAAGCAGAGTAAGGTTATCCTTACGACGTCTCAGGTAATTTCTTTTTTCTTTACTTAAAGAAACAACACAGTCAAATTTAATATGTAATATGTGCAATTTTAAATTACTACACACATGTCAATGTATGTTTTAATCATCTGCAGGCGCATCAAATTGCGAATTTAATTCGCGAGTACATGGATGTCCTTCAATCGCCGCCGGAGGTACCGAAGAGAGAATCGGCGATTGCTCAACAGATAGCACAGCAACCGATTCAACAACCACCGACAAATCTCGCGGCTACCGCCGGTGGTCGTAAGTCTCGACCTGCTTCGGTATTACATAGAGGTGCTCCAGTGATACAATCGCAAGCTAGTTAAAAAGTTAGGTAACTTATTAGATGCCGATGCTCCTCCTCAATCTTATACGTTACTCATTACCTCACACACACACACACACATATATATAGAAATATTTCTTTTATTTTTTATTATATTTATTCAACATACGTTTAATTTAATTTTAATCATACTTCTAGTTTGTAAGTGTAATTTTGTATTACTCTCCTTTACACTTCTATCTGAATGTTTTCATTGATTTTCAGTCAAATTTATTACATCCGTTTAATTAACGTGAATCAATTAGCAGACATGATTTCAGTATCAGATTGCTGGGAGATAGTGTCTCTGTAGTTGTTAATGCTTTATCGGCAAGGCCTATCAGGGGCGGCGAATAAATTCTCGTCGCGACTAGGCATGGCATTAGCCTAGAAAATACTTCTTTCTTCCAGTATTTATTCGATTAGCTTAGCGAAGACTTAGTGTTGGAGAGAAGAGAAAAGTACGCTGCTGAGAGCAGCGAAACGGATTGACAAAATAACTGCCATTTTACGATTTTAAAAAGAAGCAAAACTAGAGGAAACTGTCGAAGACTTCTATTTCTATTTCGCCCGTCATTGTCGTTGTCTTTTTTACGAGCGATTGTCAATGGTTTTTATACAGTGTTTTTTGCAAGATGTTACGACACGATCAAATAGGTCAATGATTATTGACGATCAATCGTTAAACGTTACTCCGATCAAAAAAAAAAAAAAAGAAAGAAAGAAAACGGTTTTTTCGGCATATCATTTTTTCTTCGTATCGTTCGATTAAGAGTGACTCAGGAAAGTTTTTATATCCATTTTAATTAACACCAGGAACGACCAATTTATTGATTTTATACATTTCCATTTTGTCTCCCTCTTGCTGATCACTCTTCTTTCAACGATACGATAATATTACTATACGAGATATTCCGCCACGTTTCGAATATTAATTTAAATTTTACAATTATACACGTATTACATTTATAGACGCAATATTTCAGGTAAAATTTTGCTCGACGTATATATATATATTAACTGTTAATAATATGAGGGTGCAGCGATGCCTCGTTAACTGGCCAGAGAGTTGAAGCCTCGTTAAATGGCCATCGTTACCCCCACCAGTTCTTGATGCCGATTTCACGAAGTGAACCTCTGCTATTACACACAACACGTCGTGTAAAAATAAATGAATATATCAGGTAACCGTAAATCGATAAATGGCCAACCAAAAGAGATGTCTTTTGACCAATTAACGAGTCACTGCTGTTAGAAAGTGACGACAAAAGCAAATTCCTTTGGCTTGTATTTCAGAAATGTTCGAGGATGAATGTCGGATGATAATCATAACGTTCATTTTATAGACAATCCTTTCGTGCTATCGTCCCTTTTACAATTGTGGAGTTAGAAAAAAAAAAAAAAAAACAACCAAGTGAATAAACGGAGGAAATTACTTACGAGGAATTTACGAATTCCGAAAATTTACGAAATTGCGTCCAAAGAAATTTCTTTCTTTAATCCAAAAAAAAAAAAAAAGAAAAAGAATCGCTCGATATCTTGGTGTGTAAATATTAAAACAGAGAAAAAGAAGAAGAAGAAACGTTTGAACTGTTGAAAAACAACGCAATAGGTTCCAAGAGAAATTCTCCAGTGTTCAGTGATCGCATTTCCACGTAAAATTAGACTTGCAGCTCACTTATACATGTACACATATACAGAAATGATATTATCTAATTGTAATCTAACCCTTTCAAAGTAACAATATTTCATAATGTAGTAACGAGACTAATATAACGAATCAAAGCTCCTTTTAATCTCTACACACAGAATATTGTAGAAATACCGTTAGTTTTTTTGCTAATATTACTCTTTTTAATAACGAGCAACGAGCTCGATGGAATGGATTACGAAGTCCAATGTCACAGAGAGAGAGAGAGAGGGAGAGAGAGAAAAGATGTGCACTTTTTATGGGACACAGTCAAGAAAGGGTTAAATGTAAAATTAAAACGAGAAATCTTCTCTAAGAATCTTTTGTCGAACACTGGAGTTCTTGAAAAAGAAAAAAGAAACAGAAGAAAAAAAAATACCCTAAGTTTATTCGGACCAAGATTTCGTCCCGGAGACTCGAACCACTCAATCAGATCCTTACGCGTTGCACGATATATTTAACGCAGTAGATTTCATTACAGTTGTTCAATTGCTTTAAAGCTGCAACTTTAACTGTTTGACTATTCGAAGAAAAGCAAAAATGTGCGCGGACCAAGCAACGTGCGGATGGTGTTGTGTAACGCGTATTTAAAGGCATATAAATCATCGTGCATTGGAAATGGTCGAGAAATCGTTGCGACGAAACGAGAGGTTGGCGGCCCTGTATAATCACCGTATTTATTCGAATTTCCTTTCCGGGAGTTTGGCTATAAGATTCTACGAGCGCAGAGACAGACTGTGATCCGCTTTGGGTGTCCTTAGTCTTCGAGAGCTGTTTAACGAGTGAGACTTCGTGTTAACTAATTAAAAATAAAAAAGAGAGAGAGAAAGAAACAGAGCGGAAGAGGGGAGATGCTAGGAGAGACGATGAACACGTGTGCGTGAGTGAGAGAGAAAAAAAGATGGTGTGTGAACGTTAGACAAAACGAAGATGTGATTTTTGCGAAGCATGCGTGAGAGAGAGAGAGAGAGAAACACAGGGAGAGAAGCACGCGCATTCCCTGTAACGTGTAGCTTAAGCGAAATAAATTATTGGTTGACGATGTTATATTGAAATATTTAAGAACGATCGACTACTGTATATACGTATATACATATAAATAGACACGCATATAGAAGATACGCACATTACCGCGAATTACACACTCAGTTACACACACGACGACGACGACGACAACTACGATACAACAGACTGTTGTGAAAACTCGGAGAAAGATACACGTACAAAGGGGAAGACGGTGAGAGAGTTACACGCCTACATGTGACAGAGAAAATATACATACTATTATACATATAAATATATATATAAATATGAACATAAATATAAATATATAAATATATAAATATATAAATAAACAAATAAATATATATATATAGATTATTAATATACTCGAGCTATGTATAAGGATACAATAAAAGAAAGCGAAGCTTTAATATTGCAAATAAACAAGAAGTTCTGTTTCTTCAGTTATAGCAACTTTTTTGACGAATGGTTATTGAGTTATTAAAGTTACTGACGACTAGATTATACCAACGATCGTGTAATATTTAATATACGACCGAGCATGGATCAGCATATTGCAAATACATCGAATTGGAAGAAGCAAGCCTAATAAAATTTTAGATGTTGCAATAAATACATTTGTTGAATAGGTTTATGCCCTATTGATAAAGTATCGTGTGTATATATATATATACATATTTTTATTTATCATTTTGTATACAATAATCAGACAGTTAACAGCACTCTCCTCGGTCTACACGATTGCCCGTGTAATAAACTCCTCGTTGATGCGTACATACGTATTTGCACTTGCGTTTGATTTCTGATTATAAGACGAGGCAATCGTGCGTACATAAATGCTTCCTTTCTTTTCCCAGATACGACGAAACAATTAGCTTTGATACTATATTATAGTAAACAAGAGCCAGTTTTCAAAATGGGGAAATTAAAACAAATGATATATCAATCCTTGCATTTAATAGCAATTTTATTTTGTTTGCACGCGCCATTTCTTTTTTTCTCTTTTTCTTTAGTCATTTAACTCATGCTCATTGAAAATACGATTCCTACCCATTTTGAGGCCTCACTTCCCACGTTTCTAAACGCGTGAAATGTGCCGCGACACTAGCGGAAGTAATACATTAACTCTTTTTAGGCTAAAACTGTAATAAACGCGCGTTTCAACAAAGCCTGGCACATGGACCTGTCGAGAAATCACTTTTCTTCTTTTAAAAAAGAAAGAAAAAAAAAAGACGCGTCACTACGGACACGTGTGAAAATAGCCTTAACGTCGTTTGAACTTTCATTTTTGCCACAATGGAACGAAATTGGAGTTTCAGTTTATCTGCCAACTGTTTCATTAAAATTCCGTGTAATAAATTCGATGGAACGATTAAATTGTCATTAATATATGAAATACATAAACGTAATATCAAATCAGATCCATTTTTGGCAGAGATAAAGTTCAAGATTGCATCACACAGGGGAATTATCACACTACTTTTGTAGTTTTCCTTTCGTTATTATTTGTGTAATTCTATTCTATCCTGCAACGTTCCTTTGGCACCTGTAACGAAACTGAAAGAATATTGCACGGAACGGAAGTGCGTGTTACTTGAGCAGAAAAACAATAATTCGATCCGTCGCATATAAACTAAACCAACTGACAAAAATGACAAAAATGAAGTTGCTCGATTTCCCATTCGAAATGAAAAAGCCTCTGTCTCTTTGATGATCGATAGTCAATCTTTATTTAACGTTTGGTCTTAGTTAGTCCATTTTTGTCATTAAAATTATCATCGATTCCATAGGGATATAGACGTGTTTCAATGCTTAAGTTTTAAAAAATAGACGATCAACACGATGTGCAACACTTGCTCTCCCCCCCCCCCCCATATTATTCCTTCTCACTATGTTTCGTCTGGTCAAGCTAATGCTCGACAGACACGTGCGCGCAACCAATAACTTTGAATCGTTCCCATTTCTATCGTAAAAATACTTTCTTCGTGTCAGAAGCTGTTTCGTGATTCTTATCCTGCGTAGCTTATCAACGAATACGAGATGTATTCTCACGGAACAACCTCTCGGATATCGTTCCGTATCAGATTGTGTGCTCGCAGTATCGAATACACAAGAATACTTTACAACGAAAAACGAAAAATAGAGATACTTTTTTTTTTTCTTTTTTGCTTTACACAGTTGTTAACCCTTTCCACTCGATCGAAGGCGAAGGGAAACCGTTCCAAACACGTGTTACGTAATAAATATATGTGTATTTGTCGCGATCGATCGTGAAACTTAAGATCGTGAAAACTGCGGGAACAAAAATTTCTCTCAGAAGGGAGATCTGAACGTTCGAGAGAATGTACATGAAACGTGCACATTACGCAATAATTTGTAAAATATAAATAGTAAGTATTAGTATATTACTGCTATACGATTAGTAACTAGAAATAGTAAATAGTTTAGTATATTACTGCTTTAGTTTTCAATCTGCGTGTGATTTATCCCTTCATTTTTCAGGAAGAGGGCAAGTACGCTGCGCGCGATCGTCAATTTCGGCATGTCACCTCCGGTATATATATGACGTGACAGTGTATGTGTATCGCTCTTTTGCAGCCAAGACCTTGAATCGGTATTTCTGGAAAATATTGGTTGAGGCCGTGAAATATTTCCGGTCACTGCCAAGGCCGCACTTCGAGCAGTCGCGAGTTCGCGATAATCGATTCTGTTGGGACGGCATCCGGTTGGCATCGACCTCGAGCATGATCCAGCGTATGTAACGCCGTTTTATTACACTCTCTACCGGTACGTATACGTAAAGCGGAAGCTTTAAAAATGAACGAAGAGGGAAGAAAACGATTCAGCAACAAAAGAGCAGGTGATACCGTGATCTGTAATAAATGGAGGTTGCGAGTGACGTAAATCCTTTATTACAGCCTTCCAATCAATCAATCAATGCTTTGGCAACTACTACTAGAAAATAAATCACTCGATCGAGATATCGTTTCAAAATTACTTTTTATATTTCAATAATCCGATTTGATTACGTAACATACATCGAAAGAAACATCGAGTGCAAAGGGTTTTTTTTTTGTTTTTTGTTTTTTTTTTTGTTTTTGTTTTGCTTATTATACTATATAGCCTCGTATAGGACTCACTTGGTTTGTCATGAAACATTGAAAGCGTTTTTTTTTCTTCATACAACGTTGCCCTTTCTCTCTCTCTCTCTCTCTCTCTCTCTCTCTCTCTCTCTCTCTCTTTCTCTAGTCGCGCGTTCTCGTTCACCCATTCACAGGGTGAGATGCAGATGTTCACGTCAACACGGGACTGGTAATGTATTTCCGACTTATTTGCACGAAATTAACGACTCGATTCATTTTCAACGACACACACTCATTTCTTCATCTCTTCAGTTCAGTTCTTTGCATGCATATACATTATATTTCTGTGTGTGTGTGTGCGTGTGTGTGTGTGTACGTGTGTTTGCGCAATGTTTTACCATTTGTGTATAAACACATTAAACACATTAAACACCCCCCCTCGGTACACATATTAAAATATCCCGTCGAAATATTTTAAAATACATCGGAAAATACGCGTGTATTTAAATGCCGGTCGGTAAATGTGTTCCCTACTACCTCTACGAAAAAAGTGCCCGCGAGATTTGTGTTGGGAATGCATCGATAACGAAATAAAGAAAAGAAGAACGAAAGAATCGGGGAGAGGGGGGGAGGGGGGGATATAATAAAATATAGCATTGGGACTCGTGCAGACGCAGGTAAAACACATTCACAATCGTTCTCGAACTTACCAGCAGTACGCGCGTAACGAATCATGGCTATTATGGAGTAATAATCGCGTACGATCGTCTCCGATGTGTTGTCTAGATCGAATCGGTAACCGATCGGAGAAATTCATATACACAGGTATGTAAGATAGAAGAATTCTTCACGGTAGTGAAAGCTACACTGAAGTTCTGCTTTCTTTCTTTATCTTCGTCTGCGACGTCGAGAAAGATAAGTAAGTCGATGAAAAAAACGAGATATTTTTAATCACCACGGTAATACGACCGAAATCGAGTTCACTTGATTACGCTAATCAGCAGTAGCAATTTTTGCACAGGAAATCACTACTCCCCAAGCAACGAGTAACAAGCAACTTGGTATCTACCTTGAAATCGGGCTGTATTACCGAGTTAAGTAAAATTATCTTCGTCTGTCGCTAATTTGTCCAATAATTCTCCTTCTGTTTCGTGTACCTCGACTCGAGCTATCGACACATCGGCAGATTACATATTAATTATTCAGCACCAGATAAATAACACTTCCGTAAATCATCTATTAAGATACTCGCTACGATTAACGATATATAAATACAATCGAGAAATAAATAATGCTCATTTGTAACATTCGCTAATACAGCTCTGCTCGCGCGCGAACAGGGAATCATTCTCTTTCTTGGCTTCTACGTGTTCTTTCAAACGGTTTCCGGTCCCGCCACTCCGTTTAATTTAAACTTGTCTATTAATCGAATAGTTCCACGCGATGAACGTTATAAACTGCAAAGCGGAAACTGCGGGACGCTCCGTCGACGAGGAAGAATAATAATTTCCAAGACGAAAAAAGGTCATTTATCGAAAGAAAGAACGAATCGGAACGATATATATAATTGACAATTCGATTAGAAATCTATCCGAATTCCCTGCTCGTGCGTTTCTTTTTTTTTTTTTTTTTTTTTTTTTTT